TTTTCATTAGAACTAAACTTGTGGTTAGATGTTTTCAATTGAGCGCTATGAAATGTTTTCAATTGTCAAATTTTTCAAAAGCAGAGAAATTAGCTTGCAATGTTAGGGCTAGAAATACTTGCAATGTTATAAGTTGCAATCCTTTTATTTACTTATACTGGTTAGAGTCCAATGTGGGAAGCCTTACGTCATGCTCCAGATCTTAAGCTCTGTGTTATTCTAATATGTTGGATAGGGTCAATCCCCCTTTTCGCAGATTTTGATGATTCATAGTTTTGCGCCTGGTTATGTTAATGACTCTGAAAGCATAACAGCAGAGCCAAAATTTTCAAACTATCTGTGATTGTAAAAACATATTTGTATGTTTGTAAATTGTTTTTACAGATGAAGGTGTTTATGTGAATACTTACGGTAAGATGTCAAAAAATGTCGTGTTGCAGTGGGGTGAGATGCCCAGTAGTGTTGGTAAGTCTTGATACTTAATTTCTCATAATAAATGTCTTTCCATAAGTTTCCTATCTGATTATGTTAACTTCCAGCCTACATCTCGACTGGCCAAATAATGGGATGGGGCAATAAAGCAATTGAGATCCGCTCTGTTGATACGGGTCACCTCGATGGTGTTTTCATGCATAAAAAAGCGCAGAAGCTCAAGTTTTTGTGTGAGCGTAATGACAAGGTAGGTTTAAGAATAACTTTCTTTGAAGAAAAGTTTAATCATCCTGGTATATTGAGCGATTCTAAAATTAGCTGCGCGTGAATGCAATTGTAAAGGAGAAAGCTTCACGAGAATCTTTTTATCTTCTTCGATCAATTTTCTGTAGCTTCACAATTCACTGCAGCTATGCATTATTCCTCACCTCTAATACGCCGTATATGCATTCTAAACGCTGGCAGTGTTCAGGTTCAATTCAACAGTCGTTATCTTTCGCTGAAAGCTTCAAATTTCGAGCTATAAGAGCTAATGATGGGCTAGTCTTGGCCGTCGTTTTTAGAGCTTCCACTGGTCCCAAATCTCCGCGAAATGCTTATCGTATGATTGGTATCGTGACTAGATGCAGCGACCATGTTGCTTAGCCTTTGTCATTATGAAGCTCAGGGGTAATATTTAACTTTTGTAGAAGGTCATTTGCCTCAGCCATGGTTCTTTCTGATAGTATGCCTGAATAGGACCTTTACATGTGATGGAAATCTTATAAATTCTGATAGTTTCCGGCGTACCGGTTGTAAATCAAAAGCGTTAAGCGTTCTATAGATTGAGTTTATCCATACTCCCTATTTAATCAGCTTATTTACTATTGTACCTGGTTAGAAAAAAATGCGTGATTTAGAGCAGCTACTATATTTTGGCTGAGTAATGCTTTTCAGGTGTTCTTCTCTTCAGCGAAGGGTGGCGGTTCTTGCCAAATCTATTTCATGACCCTTAATAAGCCGGGTCTCTCGAACTGGTAGCTGCTTTCGCTTTTTTTGCGATTCTTTCTTCATATACTCCTTTTGTACATAAGATCAACATTGCTCATCTAACACTGCTGTATCACGCATCGCTTTATGGTCCGTGAATCATATATTCGACTCTTGGATTCACTTCTTAGCTAAGCTATATTCTAAAATAGATGTGAAGTTTTAGGTGTCTATGTGTATATGATTGTTCGGTGCGGAATGTATTCTCATAGATA